TTTTTTGTGACAAAAACCTTGCCGTAAATCACTTACCGCTGGAAGCCCTTCCTGCGGTTCAAACGTGAACTGCAAACTGCAGACGTGACCGCAAGGCCTGAAGAGGGATTGCAAAAGTATCTAGCTCCATACACTGATGAAGACGGAGAGCTCTCTCTTGACTTTCGAGGAAAGAAACATGAAAAGATTACTGCTTGCCGACTGACAGCCGTTAAGAAAGACAAAGAACATTCATAAAGAAAATTACACTCTTTACAGTGTATAACTCTGTTATGTTTCTTTGTGGTTCACCTAAACAATTCGCGAGTGCAGTGTATAAACCTTTTTTTTCTCATTCTGGGTACGAGGTAAATACGCAGAGTGTTGACGGGCCTGCACGACTCCTGCAGTTCTCAAATAGATTGGTCTTAAAACCTTTATAGTTTAGCGCTTACTAGATTGTCTTTTAGGCATTTTCCTTTGCGATCTGAAATGAGGGGAGGCTCCTTAAAGATGTTTCTCAGGTATCGTTGGTTCTGTATAAGGGCCATTTCCTCATGAATATGTTCTTGAGGTTGGGCAACGCAGGGTGGCATTGCGTTTCAAAGGGTAGTATTTTCTTATGTGCATTTTTGTTTCCCTGTTCTAGTGCTTTCTTTCTGTCTGCGAAAATGACCTCTGAGAGATGTTTTTCTACAGTTTTAGCTGGGTAATCTCTATTCTCGAGGCGTGTTGAAAAATTCCTCATGTTCTCTTCAAAAGTGATTTCAGAGGAATAACCTCATATATGCTATACGAAAATTACAATCCATCAAGGCTACCCTAGAGTTATCGAATCAAGGCACTTTAGAAATTTTGACTAACTTAGTTTAGAGAAGATCGAATACTAAACCCTTGGGAAACTATTGGAAATTACAACGATCCAAATTCTGCCTGGCAAACATGAAAGAATCCTGTCTTTCAGTCCGTAACCTTCACGCTCCTTTGGAACTTGAAAGGGGGTGAGCCAGGCAAGCACCTTGAATAACGAGGGTCCACAATAGGGTTCTCAAATCCCGCCTTTCCGCTTGTTTTTTTTTTTCCTCTTAATCCCGCTATCCCGCCTCGGTTTACGTCCGAATCCCGATCCCGCCCTATTTTTTTAACGCGTTTCTTGCTTTCATTATACAATGTTTAAGACCAACCTTTTTGAAATAGGAGGCTTAGATGTTTAAGGTTCTTGACTTAGCCATTAGCGACCGTAACTCTATTTTCTGTTTTCCTTTTTTGTTTATTTACTTTTTTCCAAGCGTATCAGTATAAAAAAGAAGGTTTACTTCGATCTGAGTTCCGGCCATTTGGAAACAGCCAGTTGAATCGGGTAGAAGGATGCTTCGATTTCTTTACTGCTAGATTCCATTAGGCGATGAAGCCAATTGTCTACGCTGACTACGGGTCATGAAAAATATGTATGAACACAATGGTTGCACAGATTTATAGAATGTTCTCTTTCAGATATGGAAACATAAACCTGGTATGAAATCGAACAGCACAACCAAATGCAAACAACCCCCATGCAGAAGTTTACCTTTCCACCCTTTTTGAGCTTGGTCCTCGATTCTTGTTTAAAATCTCTTTATTTCCTCCATTCTTAAATCCGCGCAAAAATAGGTGGGTGTGACCTGCAATAGTTTTCAAAACAGTCCTTTTTTCTCACGGTCGGTTTTAAAAGGTGCCAAAATGTAGTCACGACAAAACTTACGATTCCCGCCTCCCAACCCAATAGAAAAAGGAAATCCCACTCCCGCTCATTATCAAAACTCCCGCTTCCCGCTCCTTTTTTGAGCTCGCATCCCGAATATCACCACAAAAAATAGCCAAATCCCGCATCCCGCCAAACCAAGAGCCATAATAGGACCTATTATGGCTCTTGGCCAAACCTGTTGTGGACCCTCAATAACATCTGAGTTAAACAAACTTATTTTTGAAAGAGACCAGCTTAAAAAGATACTGAAAAGAACTGGCTTGACTACAAAAGTATTAGAAATTAAATTTATTACGAAATTAAAACTGCCAAAGAAGAATATTATAGAAATTACTTTGGAGAAAACTCAAAGAACCTAAATCAGACATGAAAGAAGTTAACAATTTACTGCGTAATAATCTGATTACAACGTCGATTAAAAAGATAGAATATAACAACACAAATTATACTACCCCAGATGATATTGGGAATGCTTTAAATTTCCATTTTACCGAATTGGACCGAAACAAGCTTCCCAGCTGCCACCCTCCTCAAGGCAGCTATCAGACTCCCTTGTTAAGCACTCCTTCGCTGTTACAGGAGGCAAACAATAATAGATCCATCCCTTACCAATCTTTTCAACCTTTCTATTAGAACTGGAATTTTCCCAAAGGGACAGGAAATTAGCAAAAGTGACACCTATATACAAAAATGAAAAGAAAAGCATTCCTGGAAATTACAGACCAATTTCCGTATTACCAGCCGTTACTAAGCTGATAGAAAAAACTAATTTTTTGTAACTTTACGGTTATCTCACAGAATATGGTTTACTTTCTGACTCTCAATCAAGCTTCAGACCCCTACATTCCTTTTTGACCGCTTTATTAGTCGTTACTAATGATTGGTTTCTAAATATGGATAGAGGCGTATTCATTGGTGTCATATTCTTAGATCTTAAAAGGGCTTTCGACATCATGGATCGCAGAATTCTGTTGGAAAAACTGAAACTATATGGTGTATGCGTAGCAAGCCTAAATTGGAGTTGCTTCATACCTTACAAAAAGAACCCAAAAAAACTTTTATTGATGGTGTACTGTCATATAGCTGCACCATTAAAACGGAATACCATAGGGTTCTATTCTAGTTCTGCTACTATTTATTGTTTAATGGAGCGCTTACCATTTGTAGGGAAACTGCGGTGTCGTGAAACATTTCCGCCAAATGGTACTGGTAATTTTTTTGGCACCGAAAACATGAACGGGATTGAGTTTTACCATTTACAATATACCGGTAAATTTTTCGCTTTCTCTCGACTTCGAGCCTGGCACTGGTAATCCAAACAAATGGTACAGAATATTTCGGTCGTTTCGGTAAAAACGGGAAAAAGGTAATAAATACCTCGAATAGTATTACCTTTCTTTCGGAAAATTTCCACCGGGATGAACTGTTCCATTTGAATTCTCCCCGGAATTTTCGGGTTTTCTATACAAATAGTAAACGCTCGTGGTCTTCGATCTTGTAACCTCTACTCTAAAGTGTCGATGTATGCAGATGATACTTCCACGTTTAACTGTTGCACATTCTGATGAGCACATCCTAGAACAACATATAATCTACATGAAATACATACATAGCTAATAGCGAATAAACTTAGCCTAAATGTGATAAAGACAAAATATATCATTGTGGCAAGTCAATGCAGGATAAAATACCCTCAGCACCAGCTTAATATTCATGTCTATCACAAACCCCTTATCAGGCATTAGACGTACAAACATCTTGGTGTTGAAATAGATCAATCATTAACTCGGAGAGATCATGTAGACAAAATTGCTAAGAAGGTTTCTGGAGGGATTGGGGTTCTGAGACGTGTAAGGAATCTCATAACTTATCCTACATTAACTACGATGTACAAATTAACTCCATTGTACTACCGTATTTTAATTATTGTAGTATAATGTGAGGGAGCTGTGGGAAAAACAGAGCTGCCAGGGTGATAACCTTCTCTAGTTGCGATAGACGGTCAGTTGAGATACTGGATGAAATTGGGTGGGATAATCTTGAGACACGAAGGACAAGGCAATTAGCCACAATAATGTATACATTGAAAAATCACATTGTACCAGATCATTTGGCTCAAATTTTTAATAGTACAAACCGGCTAGGTATTCCTATAATCCAAGAAACTCAAAACATAATTTGTTTTAACCAAGACGGTAAGAGACATACTTTCCGTAGTGAAAAAAACTTGTTGTTTAATTTTAATTTTACATTCATTCAATGTATTACTGCATAAAGTTCGTGTTTTTCAACTAAAAGTCAGAGTCTATGCTGCGGTGAGACCCTTTGTTCAAAAAAAATTAGCTTTACACCGCACCTACGAATGAATTAGGTGAAACAAAAAGAAATATAACAGTCGTACGCTGTGAATTTATGTAAAAGAGGGTTCTTTATAAATGTTCTTTGTCTTTCTTAACGGCTGTTAGTCGGCAAACAGTAACCTTTTCATGTTTCGTTCCTCGAAAGTCGAGAGAGAGCTTTCCGTCTTCATCAGTGTAGGGACCCAGATACTTCTTCAATCGCTCTTCAGTGACAAGGGAAGGATCAAACAGGCCACATGTAGTCGACCATTGCCATTCGAGAAACTCTTGAACGGTTTCAAACACAAGCCCCTTGCAGTGGGTATCAAAACTCCGAATAATTTCATCAAATCCCGCCAATAAACAATAGCGTTCAATCTTCGTCTTTGACTCAAAATGAAACAAACGAAAAATACGCTCTGCGTTCTCCGGATTCAGTAGCACGTAAGCGTTGTAATCAAACAAGGGTAGATAGGACATGTATTGAACTGCTACTTTTCCACCAACCTTAAGACTTTCAAACATGTTGTTGAAGACTTGTTGCTTGTTAGTCATCCAATGAAGAGCGTAATTACTGAAAATGATGTCGTAGACTTTAGAACCAATTCCTGGGAAGTTTATGGCACTCCCTTCTACAAACGAGAGATTCTCAATTTGACTGTGCGCTTCTTTGGCCAGTTGAATTCGTTCCTTGTCAGGATCTACACCAGTAACCATTCCTTCGGGTCCTACCAACTCAGCTAGGTATGCAGACAGTTCTCCTGTACCGCAGCCTAAATCCAAGATAACATCTCCAGCTTTGGGGCAGACATCTGTTTGGATGAAGTCTTCACTGTCCACTTTTTGCTCGGAAAGCGACGCTTGTTGGTAACCTTCAGCAGGACTTCGTTGCATTTCTTTAACGAGTCGACGAGACGTCTTTTAGAGATAGAGTCGATGAAGTTGCACAAAAGTTTGAAAAGCCCCTTCTTATATTAGTGAGTAAAATCTAGCAGAGTATATACCACGTGACTAAGTCCTACGTGCTTCATTGTATCCGAATTCTATTTTAGGTGACCCGTTTTTCTTGATCGCGCCCAAAATATCCCCTTCCCCTTCAAACGCCTGCCACGTAGGTTAAGTTTTAGGTGACCCGTTTTTCTCGATCGCGCCAACAATATCCCCTTCCCCTTCGATCGCCTGCCACGTAGGTTAAGTTTTCGAACTAAAAATACAACTTACTTGACTCAGAAAAAGTTACTTGATAATTACACGTGAGGTATTATATCGGAAACATTTTGCGTCCAGATCCACTTGGGAGAAAGCTTTCTTTAACCTTAATACCCGACTTTGGAATCATGAATATAAACACTTTGTCGTTGTTTATTATTGCAGTTTATTATTATGAACTACGTTTCATTTCACACCTCCCTCATCGTTGTCATATTGTGCCTAACTTTGTACCTGTAATTTAGTGAAACTATAGGTAGCTCATGTCTCTTTGGTTATGCCGTGCAAATACACTTCAATCAATCAATTAACTTTATTTAAACACGGTAAATGGCTCAGCAAGCTGGTTTTCAGACATGCCGTGTGATAATTACAATTTATAAAAATTAAGACTAGTGATTAACTAACAATACAATATAACAGCAAGAAATGAGTATAAGAAATAAGATAAAAACATAATAAAAGTTATATCCTAAGATATGGCGAGTTTAAAGCTAGTAAGATCCCCCATCTCACGTATTTCATTTGACAGTTGGTTCCAAGCCAAATCCCTTAATTACGGATTGCCTTAAGACGCAAATTTCTGTTTTTTTTGTTATGAAATGACAGACCTGAAAGGCAATGAAAAAAGGAGAACTTAATATTTTTTTGGCATTTACTCAATGTGCAAGACTTAAAATAAATGTATACTTGTGATGGGCCCAAAATATAACACTACCCTACGGACTGAGTCACGTAGAACGCACGTCAACTGATACTCTGATAGCTTAATTTAGTATCGAATTTAGTACCTTTTGTGCATTTGATCTCTAAAAGATCAATAACGCACAGGTCGCCACAACACAGTCGAGGGTTTACACCTTGGGCTTGTCGGTAGTATTCATTTATTTTAAGTCTAGACACATTTAAAAAAACCGGAAGAGAATGTTTTTTGCCTGAACAAAAAGTCATATGCGAAATGAACCTGTTCCTAGTCTGTCTAGTTAATTACGAGACTTGCTGAACCATCAGCTGCACTTCCCTGTACTACTTTACGAGTTGACTAATCTTTTAGAGATCAAATGCACTAAATACGATGCTAAATTAAGCTATCACAGTATCAGTTGACGTGCGTTCTACGTGACTCAGTCTAGGGTAGTGTTATATCTTGGGCGTATAAGTATACATTTATTCTATTTACAGTGAGTAAATGCCAAAAAATATATAACGCTCTCCTTTTTTCATTGCCTTTCAGGTCTGTCATTTCATAACAAAAAACAGAAATCTTCATCTTAAGGCAATCCGTAGTCAAGAGATAAGGAAGTGTATTTGCCCGGTATGACCAAAGAGGCATAAGCTACCTATAGTTACACTAAATTACAGGCACAAAATTAGGTACAATATGACAAGTCATTGAAATGCGGTGGGGGGGAGGGGTGAAATGAAACGTAGTTCATAATAATAAACTGCAATAATAGTACGCAACGACTGAGTGTTTATATTCATGATTCCAAAGTCGTACGTGTATTAAGGTTAAAGACAGATTTCTGCCCTGTTGACCCAAACGTTAAAAGTTTCCGGTTTTATAATACGTCGTGTGTAATTATCACGTAACTTTTTCTGGGTCAAGTAAGTTGTATTTTTAGCTCGAAAACTTAACCTACGTGGCAGGCTTTCGAAGGGGAAGGGGATATTGTGGGCGCGATCGAGAAAAACGGGTCACCTAAAACTTAACCTACGTGGCAGGCGTTTGAAGGGGAAGGGGATATTTTGGGCGCGATCGAGAAAAACAGGTCACCTAAAATAGAATTTGGATACAATGAAGCACGCAGAACTTAGTCACGTGGCATATGCTCTGCTAGATTTTACTCTCTAATATAAGCCAGGTTTTCAAACTTTTGTGCAACTTCATCGACCCATTTTATCTCTAAACGACGTTTCGTCCGCTCGTAAAAGAAACGCAACGAAGTGAAGCTGAAGGTTACCAGCAAGCCTCGCTTTCCGAGCAAAAAGTGGACGGTGAAGACTTCATCCAAACAGATGTCTGCCCCAAAGATGGAGACTTCATCTTGGATTTAGGCTGTGGCACAGGAGAACTGTCTGCATACCTCGCTGAGTTGGTAGGACCCGAAGGAAAGATTATTGGGGTAGATCCTGACAAGGAACAAATTCAACTGGCCAAAGAGTCGCACAGTCAAATCGAAAATCTCTCGTTTGTAGAAGGGAGTGCCATAAACTTCCCAGGACTTGATGCTGAAGTCTACGACATCATTTTCAGTAATCACGCTCTTCATTGGATGACTAACAAGCAACAAGTCTTCAACAACATGTTTGACAGTCTTAAGGTTGGAGGAAAAATAGCAGTTCAATACATGTCCTATCTACCCTTGTTTGATTACAACGCTTACGTGCTACTGAATCCCGAAAACGCAGAGCGTATTTTTCGTTTGTTTCATCTTGAGTCAAAGACGAAGATCGAGCAGTATTGTTTATCGGCGGGATTTGAAATCATTCGGAGTTTTGACACCCACTGCAAGGGGCTTGTGTTTGAAACCGTTCAGGAGCTTCTCGAGTGGTAATGGTCGGGTACATATGGCGTGTTTGATCCTTCCCTTGTCACTGAAGAGCGTTTGTAAAAGTATCTAGCTCCCTACACTGATGAAGACGGAAAGCTCTCTCTGGACTTTCGAGGAACGAAACATGAAAAGGTTACTGCTTGCCGACTGAAAGCCGTTAAGAAAGACAAAGAACATTCATAATGAACCCTCTCTCACTTTTAGGTGTAAAAGAATAGCGATACAATAATGTTTTAACTCGACTGGAACAGTCTGCTCTCAGCCGTGGCAAGCAACATCTCTAACTAATTTTCGACGATTATTAATTAACTCAGACACGGAGTTCATGAAAAAAAGGGTTTTAATTTAGCTCTCTTTTCTTAGTAAGTAACATGTTTGTATTAGCGATGCTGAAACTCAGCCTTCGCTGATACGTTGTGTTTTTTCTTATATTACATTGATGGAAATATTTATTTATTTTTTGATAATGCCTGATGTTTGTAACCGTCTGTAAATAAAGATGATGATGATGATGATGATTCAGAATGGGCCCGCCTTTTTTTGGCTTCCTGTGACCGCGGGGGGCGGGGGAAGGGCTTCCTAGCCCCCCATTTTCAGGCGAGAATAGAATAGAAAAATTATTTATTTAAACTTGGTAAAATCTATCAGGAGTATAAAAAAGTTTCATAAATAAACCTAGCTACCCTAAACAATAAGCAAGACTACCTACAACTAACCTAACTAAGACCTGTTTTTCATGAATGCTGCGCACACAGCACAAAAAAAATCAGAAATTCAGATAAGCCAGTCGTTTAAAATTGACTGAAAGATTTGGCCTTTCTCATATCACAGGGCAGGCTGTTCCAGAGAACTGCTCCGCTATAACTGAAGCTGTTCTTCATGAAGGTAGTTCGCGGGAACGGGACAGTTAGTTTGTTAAGAGAGTCTCTTAGGGAGTAGTGCGTTCCATATCGTTCAACAAAGTTAGAGGATAAATATCCTGGAACAAGATCATTTAAAGACTTGTAAACCATTAGGGCTTTTTGCATTTGAAACTGAGTGCTCAAATCTTTCCAATTAAGTTGTCTAAATAAGCGGTTGGCATCAGCATCATATCTAGAAATGGTTAGAACACAAGCAGCACGGTTCTGAAGCTTTTGTAGCCTGTCAAACAATTTTTTTCCACAATTACCCCAAACAATATTACAATAATCGAATTGGGATTGAATGAGAGCGTTGTATATACAATGGAGAGTAGGCGTTGGAACAATTCTCTAATTCTTTCAATTGCTCCAGAAGGGAAAGTCTTAGATAATTTATCGATGTGCGTTTGCCAACAACAAACAACAACAACACTTTATTCACATTTCCATTACAGGGTTTGTCAAACTTATTGAATAATTAGTAACTTAACACGTAGAATATTCAATTACAATTTAAATTAAATATTATTACATAGAAGGAAATGCCTAGCGGCTAGATAACCGTAAGGTTTTCGAGCTAGCAACTAGTTCTTTGAAAGTAGTGTCGAATGTACAGGGCATCACAATAACTAGACATACAAAACGTCTTAAGACACACACCATAAAAAAAAGAAGAAAGCACATAGATGGCAAAAAAAAGAAGAGAAAACAGTCATCATAGTACATGACGATATGATTAAAATAAAATAATTTCAGTAAGTTAATTGTTCGGCCAACAAGTATTCTTTTAATGTTTTAGGAAAGTTATAAGTTGAAAGGTCTTTTATATGGGTAGCGAGCTGTTGCTACAATTCGGTCGCCATAGCCGCTGTTGTTTGCTTTCCTATATTGGTCCTGGAACGTGGTTTGTAGAGGTTACTTTTTGAAGCATATCTCGTATTATATGTATGAACTTCACTTGCATAGCGAAAATGCTGATTAAAGATATTTGGTAATTTTTTAGAATGCCACTGATGAGTGAAGTTAAGAAGCTGTAGTTTATAGATATTTGTAACAGTAAGTAAATCCAATAAATTAAGTAATGGTAATGCACTGTCTGTATCTGGTCCAAACAAGGTGGCAAAGAACATAACGCGGATAACATGATTTTGTTTTGTTTGGATTTTTTTAATTTGAGTAGTAAATGCACTGCCCCAGGAGGTCATCGCATAAGATATATAAGGATAGATCAGGTTATAGTATAGTTGTTTAAGTTGTAAAAGGAAGGTGCAGTGTCTGAGTTTGCCAACAATTCCTGTGTTTCTAGAAATTCGAGTACATAAATAAGACACCTGATGTTTCCATGATAGCGTGTCATCTATAAGTACGGATTGCTTGATTGTGTAGTATTTTAACTCTATCTTTAAATTTCCTAAGATATTCAAGAACTGATCGTTTTTGTCAGGGCTTTCAAGAACGTTCTCAAATAAATCTCTTTCTTCAAGCGTAAGAACAGTATCGTACACCCATGATCCCACAGCTTTCGCGAATTCTCGCCTGTCTGTTAAGCCATAAAATGGCAGTTCCGATAAATAATTCACAGTCGTGTCAAGCGATTATAATTAAATAACTTGAACAGTTCCAACTGAATGACTTACCAGGATCGGTACTAGAAACAGCAAGATTTGGGCATATGCACCTACTAAATAAAAGAAAAAAATAGACTTCACTTATCCAAGAGGAAATTTACTTTTGAAGTCAGCGAACTCGTCTGCGTAGTTGAATGTGAACGTACGCTTTTCCCCGTCTCCTTGCTTGAGGTATATTCGCCCGTTGTTGGTCCAAATATATTTCCACTTGTTGTCCTTCTTAAACTTGTTAATGCTGCCAAACAATTTCTTTCTTGCTTGTGTTAGCGACTCGGAGATATATAATTTCTTCTTTGGGTCTTGAGAAAGATCCCGTAGAGTGCCAACTTTACCAACTTCTTTGCCGGCGATTGTTTTCCTCTTTCCGTAAAACTCGTCCCGAATACTGCGACGCGTAAACTTGACGATAATCTTGTCTTCTGCACTTTTATTGTAAGTGGGTAAACGGTGGGCCGTGGAGATGTCTTCATCTTGCAGCTCGATACCCATTTCCTTCCCAATAGAACAAACAAGGTCAAAACAAGATACTTCTTCGGTTGGTAAAACGCCTGTCAGCTCCAAGCAGTCGCGGCGCAAGTATTGAGAAAGGTCTCCAATTTCGCGCCCTATTTTCTTGCACTGCTTCATATCTTCCTTTAGGTTCTTAACATCAGTGGAAAGGCTTGCTGTTCTATCATTTGAGCGCTGTACTTGCTTCAAGAGCTCATCATACTTTGCGGAGAAGTGTTTGACCGACTTTTCCAATTCAAAGAATGACTTTTCAATCGAGGTTAATTTAGCTTTTAGAGGTCCAATTTCGGCCTCCAAGAGTGACTTAATTTCATCTTTAGTTGCCATCAAAGCAATACAATTGCAGATGCCTGCACTTAACAATGGTAGCCGAAAATTTGGCCAACGTTAAAAAACACGTGCGGCCGCCATTGCGCCATATGCAAAAGTGCCACATTTGCCACCGTAGATTTTCATCAATAAGTATTCCAAGCGATTTTACAGAGGTAACTTTTTCTAACGGAATATTATCAATCGAGAGCTCAGGTTGGCTCGACAAAATACTCAATTTTTCTCTTGATCCAATTAGCATAAATTCAGTTTTAGAAGTGTTTAAAGTAGGTTTGTTGGAGATAAGCCATTTCTTTATAGATTACCTAAATCGTGATTCAAATTTAACTGTATTGAATTCACATCAACATCTGCATAAGTGATGTAGCTTGATGTGTCATCAGCATACATCCTAGGCTGGCATGAAGTTAGGCAGTTTGGCAAATCGTTGATGTAAATAAGAAACAAAAGGGGACCAAGAATTGTTCCCTGAGGTACCGCGCATTTATGCGAACAGTTTCTAGAAAGGGAACCATTAACGAGACATCGTACAGAAGTCTTGATGTAATTGTTTATTGTATTTCGCAACTTTTTGTACTTTGCTCAGTCGCGTGGATCGTTCGATGCCATAGCTTTTCTTTTGGCAGCATCACGATCGCGCATGCCATTCTTTAATTCTGAATTGATCCAGGGTGCTTTTTTTGTTCTAGCGCGTCTAGCTCAGAGTAGAGCATGAAAGTTAACAACATCAAGTGCGAAGTCAAGAGCGAAGGAGGCGTGGAGCGCCAGACACGGGCAACGGGGGAAGGCGCACTAAGAAAATTTCTCTCAAAAAAGCGAAACGAAATCGAAAAGTTCTCAGACAGTAAGGTTTGTGATAAAATCAAGAGGTTGGCTAACTGAACACATTGATAATCTTTAACAATAGCAGTGATGTCATGATGACGTCCTTATTGTTGAAGAAGGAACTGGAACCATCCACTATCTTGGATCCGCCATTTTGAATTGATTAAAAGTGAATTCGATTTTAGATTTTACTTAAAACCCATATAAATCGAGGCAATCGAGAGAGAAAATTTGATCTGTAACAATAAAGCAATAATAAATTAGAAAAAAAAATAGACGGAAATATAAAAATGTGAAAAAAAAAGGAACTACTCCTTACACATGTATTAATTTATTTGCTGAAACGAAATTTGACGCACTCTGTCTCAGGTCCTCATTGAGTCCAGACAGTCCATTTCAGATAGCTGCTGATGCAGAATTAATCTAAACCATGAGTTGTTGTGTTAACGTATTCGAAAACAAGTGTTTGATCCCTGCAGATTGTGTGCAGCATTCCTCATGACATCGTGTCAACATGGATTGTCTAAAAGACCAGATTAAGTGAAAATAGAATACCATAAATTAAATTGAGACTACGAGTAGTAGTTTCGCTCGCTCTACCTATCCCTGAGGAGAAACAGTGGGTGACTACTCCTAGTCTATAAATTAAACATTTTTTCGGGCAGATGTTGTGTGAAAACAATTAGTTTCAAACGGCGCATTTTGAAAAAATCTCCAGAAGCATTTGGATTGATATCATCGGTGTTCGAGTTGTGCTTGAGTGAGAATGTAGTTAAAATATAGTGGACTGACGTTACCGCAGCCTGCGTATTCACCATTTGGCCCACGCACCGTGTTTAGAGTGTCTGCGACGCAGGCTATGAGTCGTTGCTGGTATCCGGCGCAATTTTTCATCAGCGGCCTTTGGAAAAGGGCGTGTTTTAACAATATTACAGTTGTTCTGTCCGAAAAAAGGTATTCCTAATAAATATCAAAGTTTCCCAAAGAAAAGAAAGCTCCCTTAAGTTTATAATTTCATCCATTTATTCACAGGTGTTTATCATTTTATTTTTTCGGTGGACGTATTCTGTTTATGGACATAAGGCGATTACCGATGACTAGTCAAAATATAATCTGACCAGCACTCCCAGTGAATCCGAAGTTCATTTCATTTGTGAATCTTGTGGTGGTCACTGTATGAATGTCTCAGGGCTAATCTACTAGGTTATTGGTGAGTTAGTAGACCTCATTTATTTTATCAGTTTTGTAGTTTTCCGGCTTAAATAACGCTGTGCAGTCAACAAAGGATTCGTCATCGGTGGAATATGATTTTTTTTTTCTATTGAACTCAAAACCCGAGTAATCTATTATTAAAAGGGAGCGAAAAACAGTTCGAATCTTTTTTAAAACTCCTGTATAAAACTATGGTAAAACTATTTTACAATTACAAGTGATTATTGCCGTTCACTACAGTTTGAATGATTAATATCACTTAGAAGCCAAATGTAGAAGTATGCTCAAATTCTTTGTCGTCCGTCGTTCTCAACGATGCGGACTAAGAGCATGATCGTGCATCGAGGAAATCGGATTTGTTCAGGAGCACCTAAGGACTGCGGTTTCCTCATAAATACATTTAAATACTTTTTAGGCTATCCAGAGTAATTTTAGATTTCTAGAAATCCATTCTAAGCGGCGCTATAAAAATTGTATCTGTTCGGTCAGCCCAGGAAAACTTGAGTCTTTACGAAATAACAGGAGATTTAGTATTATTTACCCGAAAATTTTAGATGCAATTTAACGTATTACGAAAGTGAGAATTTTTCTGATTTCTCTCTCCATCACTCTTTTGATAGCCTAACCTGGGGAATGAAATGTGACCAATTTAACTTCAGAAAATCGGAGGGAATAGGCCATTGCACGCTGGCGTCATTTTACTACTACGACAAAAATTCTTTTCGTTTTTCCTTTCATATTTAAATTTTGTAATCCCAGTGAGGTTTAAATAACAAAAGCCCTAATTTGCACAAGAAAGCAAAACCCTGAACAAAATTACGACGACATTGTTTTGAATGCTTACAACATTGTTCCAACAACCTTTAAGGCGATGTTACACGAGACGATTCGCAACGATAATTTTAAACTCAACACAGCATTGCAACATTGTTGCGGCATTGTTTTGAATGGTTACAACATTGTTCCGACATTGCGACGCTGTGTTGCGCTAAAAATCGTCATTGTGAATCGTCCCGTGTTACATCAGATTACCTTTAGCATAACACGATTTTACATTTTGTTTGAGCAAACTATAAATATTATCGAGAGCTTCACTTTTAGCCCAGGCTAAATCTAAATATTAGCTAAGAACGTCCTTGAGGTTATTACACACCGTAACATGAATGAAAAGATTTTTCTCATTTTATCTCAGAAAAAAAAAAATTCACATAATAATATAGTGCAACAACATTTTTGACACAGATATTCTTTCCAGCGGTTACCCAACCAAGTTAAAAGATTACGGAAATTCCAGGGGTGGGTTGGGGGCATGACAAGCATGACAAGCAGTACAAGGGTGGGGGTCTCAAGTCTACACATTATAGGCAGCCCGTTTTCAGTTCAGAGGTTTCCATCGTATGCAGGGGACATTATCTTATATAAGTGGGGCTGAGTGCTGAGGCTCGTGGTGAATTCGTAGATGGCCTCTAAATATTTGGTGTTCCTGTGGCTTCTTACCTGCCTCTAGCTCTCGGTGCAACTCCTTCAATAAAGGACTCTGGTTCCTAGTCTCCCCCCTTGATTTCCCTGCTCACAATCAGACGTATTTCTTGGCGTATCTTATTCATTAGGACTGACGACCGACAGTATAGACTACCATAACACTCAGACGAGGCTCCAAGTACCTTTAATACTCCCACATGTGCTTCCACTATATCAAAGATTTTTCTCAGACCCTTCAAATCATTTTTAGAAGTGACAGGTGCCTAATTAAGAGGACCTTTCGTATGTTTGTTGATGATCATTTGTTTATTTCCAAATCTGTCCTTCAAAAAAGCGGTAGCCTCCTCATAATTTGAAGCAGTGATGCATAGGATAAACCTGAAATGGAGTCTCACTGGCTGTTTTCTCCAAAATAGAGTTCAAATAATTGAACTTGTCAATGGAATTGTTTTTGTGAATAAAGGCCTCGTAAGCGTCTCAGAATGTACTCCACTTTGTAACAAACATCCTCATCAAACTGTTTAAACTCAAACTTAGGAAGTTTAACTCGAGAGACCGTTTCATGTGTAGTTGGACTTGCGGGGGAATTAAGAGATTCAACAGAGTCATTTGAGGGTTCAACATTTCCAGGAACAACTGCAGGAGATACAGAAGGGCTCACTGGTGCCTTGTGTTTTGGCGCGTCCACGCTGCACGCAGGGGGTCTTGACGTTTCCAGAAAGTAATCAATTCTTGCAAAGGCAAGGCATATCAGTTCATTAATAGCCTGCGTAGCATGGTGGTTTTGGTTGAGCGCGCTAAGTAATAAAGGCGGGCGAGGGCAGAGAAACCGCGAGGAGATTGGTTTTTACTTTTTTTTTATTTTTCTCGCGGCTTTGCTGCTCGTGCGCCCGGCTCTACAAAACCGCCATGCTACGCAGGCTAGTTCATAAACAAGATGTGCTTCGCAGATTTCATTTTCAGTGTCCTCTTCTTCACAGAATTTCCTCTTCTAGAACTTTCAGAGCTTCTAATTTAACGCGCAGAAATTCCTTTTGCTGGCGGAGCTTCGACACGTGTTGTGCTAACGTTTGCTTGTTCTTGTTCAAGTTAAAATCGCTGTTTGAAGTATTTAATTGCTCGTCAACGGCATAGGCGATACGTTTAACGGTGGCTCTATGTCCTTCACGCGTGGCCTTTATCCTTGACAGGCTTTTCCCTTTTGGTGCCCTCACCACTTCCACTTTTAGACAGTTGATTCGAGAAGGTTCGACTGCACCGGCGCGTAAACAAGATTCATCCGATTCGAGAATCACAACCATAAGATGTACCTTACAACCACAAAAATTATCTCTTCAAGAAATGTCCGGCTCGATGAGACTCCATGCAAAGAATGAGTAGAAGGCGTTAGGTCGCTTTAGTGATAATCATGATTTAATCCATGGAACCTAAGCGAAATCAAGCGAAGCAAATGGTTTTTCTCAATCCTATGATTTACTATGGACACAAAAAAATGACAGGCAAGCAAGGAGTGCACACTAAAATAGCTAAAAATAATCTTAACACGGCTAGTTTAGTTTCGACTAGTTTCAAACGGCGCAAAAATTCACCCTGATAGAATATCCAGCAGTGCTGGCTTAATATTGTTTAAAGTAAGCTTGCCTTGCTATTAACTTTTGGTTTCTTTCACGGTTGAGTAAGAATGTGTGTTTAAAACATAGCGAACTGACATCAATCATGATGGAATCGCCACAATGGTTCCATAATGGCATTAACAGAAAGAAACTAATATTGTTTGAATTAGGATGACATAGCCCCTTTTTATGGTTAACGGATATCGTTTATGGTCACAAAGCCAATGATCGAGATAACACGTCATGACTTGACCACGCAGCACACCGAGTGAATCTGACGTTCATTTCATTTGCTAATCGTCCTTTGATCCGACTGCGTGAACCTTTAAGCCGAATCTACAAAGTTACTGGTGAGTTAACAGCCCTCAGTCTTTTGTGTCTACAGTTTTCCTAATATTCCGTGTAATCAACGGAAACAGGATTTCTTAGCGGTTCGTGATTGTGCTTGATTTTTGTAGTTAACTCGGAGGAAACTGAGCATCGAAAAATAGCTCGGATTGTGCGAAATAAAGTGTTGCACTTTTCTAATTAAGTAACGATTAGTTTACTATGGCCGATTGCAAAATCCGTTTACTACATTCCAAATTGCTTAGAAGCTTTTAAATCTACTGTAGGTAACTATGCATATAAAGTTTCTGCACGTCACTTAACTTATCGCTAGGGTTAAGTTCCTGTTTACTCTACTGCATCTCCATACTAATATGATGTTGGTCAGTGTATTAAATGGAATATGCCAGTGATGTTAATCGAACGTTTGATGGTTATTCGAACGTTTCTTTACAGCAGCCGAACACAACATCAAAATCAAAGAAAGCAATCTTGACTAGTAAATCGAACACTATCGAACGTTTGATTACCTACAAACGATATTAGTCGAAGTCACACTGTCAGTGTTTATTGAAAGTTAATGAAATGTGACTCAAGGTCATCATCGACATCCAGTAATGAGTTGAGAACAGAATTGACCTAATATAGCAATATCCTTTGACACTGATTCCCGCGGGACCTAGTGGATTGGCCCCGGCTCTAGCAGAGTGTAGGAGGTAATTAAGTGTCACTGTCCACTGTCAGAGAAAGCCGGGCAGGAGCAAAAGATCGAGGTCGGCGTTTGACCTCCACCTTTTGACCATATAAAAGCCACCTGAAAAGACTGAAGAGATTATCAACGGTGGTATTTTAAGATAAACATTTTCTTGAAATCAGGGCCTTACACGGGCCTAAAAAAGCTTGATTTTCGGCCAACTTTCGTCGAACCAACATGAAAGAAAGCAAAGTGCGTAAAACTTGTCATACGTTTTTTCGCATCTCTCTAACCAACAGTAAACTGATTGAAGTATAACAATCTTTCTTGGGTTTAACTCTATGTTTTCAATGTCGCACTTAATATTAATTTTATTAGCACCGAATTGGAAACGAATGTGGGCCAAATTTTGGCCATTTTCGCAGTGCTGTTTTTCAAACGTGCGTGCATGGTTTATTTTTAAAGAAAATTATTGTATCAATAGCCTGACGTTGTACCTTTATTAAAATTCAGCAAACTTAAAATTGGTATCTTGAGGTAAATCGCTATGGTCGGCGTTCAAAATTACACTAACATGCCATCAAGCAGAAATTTTTCCCGTTCAGAGAAGAAATAATATACAAAAATATTTGTCTTGACAATAAGTCGAAATTTACTAGACAAAGATCAGCTAAGGTAATCAAGTTGTTTAGTTACCTGTGGAAGAGTATTTACTTCTAAACATCGAAACACGTAAGCGTCAGACCTCTTGAAAGACACCTTATACAAAACGGAATTTTTTCCGCCAAAAGGAATTATGTGGCACGCTGCAGTGAATCCCAGCGGATTTAGTCTCCGCAAAGTTCGACCTTCACAATCATAAGAAAAACCATTCAAAGTTAATAATAACGAGGATAATCTGATAAACTGTGTCAATTCAGTAAGGTAGAAAGACAAATATATCAGACTAGCCGTCTTGTTTTGCTTGCCTGTAGTGGTACAAACTATTACGAACTATTTTTAAAGCTTTTTCACTTGCTTTTGCCTCATTTTGTAACCAAAATGTAAGACTTCAAGCAGTGCTGTGGCAGATATTTCATCGCTCAGTCCATGATAATCAAGCTTAATTCTTCGTCAAGCTGAGTACTGAGAACGTTCTGTTTTGCTTCTTCTTGATTAACAGATCGAAGCAAATGTGATTTCCAGGCTTGAACTGCTCAAGAGCACTCCTTATTTTCGAAGTTTATTCTTGCTCTCGTTTCGTCTCTGATGACTAATAAGTCATCGATCTTCTTTAATATGTCCCGGAATCTCAAATCAAGAGAAGAAGACTATACGCCAGCTTCCTGTAAAAAAATTAGTTAGATCATGAATAACCATTACCAGCCAAGCCTTGGTCCAATAGTTGAATTCATTGAGATGAATTGACTATCTCCGCCTTTATTATACTGCTTTATATGTAGTTGCACTGTAAGCTCTTGTCCTATTCTGACGTTTCATTATTGGCCAGTNTTTCCAGGCTTGAACTGCTCAAGAGCACTCCTTATTTTCGAAGTTTATTCTTGCTCTCGTTTCGTCTCTGATGACTAATAAGTCATCGATCTTCTTTAATATGTCCCGGAATCTCAAATCAAGAGAAGAAGACTATACGCCAGCTTCCTGTAAAAAAATTAGTTAGATCATGAATAACCATTACCAGCCAAGCCTTGGTCCAATAGTTGAATTCATTGAGATGAATTGACTATCTCCGCCTTTATTATACTGCTTTATATGTAGTTGCACTGTAAGCTCTTGTCCTATTCTGACGTTTCATTATTGGCCAGTTCTTAGATAATAGCAAACTATTTGTGACATCTAACCAGGCAGTGGACTAATGAATCCTAACATCAGTAGCCTGGGACAGAGCTCCGCAGTGGCGGAAAAAAGTCGAAAAATACATCAGCAGGAGAGAAAAAATATCGACTAGTGAAGCGAGCCGAGCGATAGTCTAGGATGGCGAAAGGTTGGCGCCCTGTTTCATCTCGTTTTTTGCCTTTTTCTCTTACTGCAGAGCATAGACCCAGGCTATAACGTTATTTATTTTGCACACCTTAAATCATGCAAACGAACTCATGTTCTTCACAAACTAGTCCTTACCACATAAACTCCACTTAAATTTTTCCTTAGAAAATATATAATGTAAACTAAAGCGTCTCCTGAAAGCGTAAAATATGCAGCAACCCATCAAAAAAGAAAATGCTTGCTTCATTTTGTAAGAACATCGCATCTTCAGGATGGGTTCCCCTCGGTTTTGAATCCTGTTATGTCAAATTTTTCACGAGGATTTCTCGTGAAAACAAAATTTATACAAACATGGACTTGGCTATCCCCCTTGGGTTAGAATTTAGGGAATCGGACCGGTCTTCTGGGACTGCATGGGTTCAAATCCCTTTGTTCACGTGTTTCTATCATTGTAAATATCACATTTTTCCTTATTTTTAATTTCATCGACAGTTCCAACTATATAATGTAAACTTCATCTAGTAAACTTAAGTGATAAGTTAGCCAACCCTCGCTTTCGTTCAGGACTGGACTTTATACAATCCTTTTGCTTACCTGTTCCATACCTTCATCCAGATGTAGATCAAAATCACTTTTCTCGCGTATTTTTTAGTTTTCCAACTTAGAATTTGTGCAGCTTGTTATCAAGAGTAAACAACAACAGAAAACAATCAGAATCGCAGCCCACTCATCACAATGTGCCACGCCCCTACCCCTCCCTCCCAGACACTTTTACTGGAAATCAACAATGCAAGAAGATCACAATTCATTTTGCTAAGCCAATGGTATTTTTCTTCTTAATTTTTTGTATTAACATAACACATGTTTACTGTAAAGTTTTTGTGAAACGTTTTGTACATAACTGATAATACTCTCACTAGTCCAATTCTTATATGAGGCAATTAAGCGTCTGAAAATCTCGTGCATGCGTTTGTTGAAATTTTATTCTAACCAAAAACTATTCGCACTTTAAATAGTCGAAGTGAAATAACATAACCGTAAAAAATAAAGTAACCGTATGTAGAAAACATGGTCGTATAATATTAGTGAATCGTCATTCCACGGTTTTATGCTGTTTACTTTTGTTCAACATTACATGCCTCTAAAATCTACTGTAACTGAAGACATGAATGAACAGTGCAATGAACTGCACGTATTAGACGTCACATTACCTAAACCGCACGTGAGTATGCGAGAATTGACTAAATGTAAGAAAAGTCTTCACTCACCTGCCCCGATAGGAACAATCTCCTTGAACTCAACAAATATTTCTGCAGACATTTTTGCATTAACACGTCTAATAGTAATAATAATAATAACAATAATAATAATACACTTTATTTAAAGAGGGTAGCACGGAATAGTTACAGACCCTAGGAAACTTGTGGCCCTCTATCTAGGGGGACTAAGTCACCTCTTCAACCCTTGATGAGCCGGGTAACAGCAAATGTAATTCTTACGGCCAGGCCAGTCGGTAGTTACGTGTTTTCTATGTTTTGGGCTAATGGTTAGGGCCTCTTTTTCTTCTTCTCATAAGATACCAATATGTCCTACCCGATTTAAGCTAACC